TTTAGCAGAACATGTATGTAATAAAAATACAAGTGAAACTTTTAGTTTCAAAGGTGAGACATTTTTCAATTTTATCATGGCTGAAGGCCGTACGGTTGCCTATAAGTGCTTACATCCACTTCATTTGAACTTTGGTGGAAATTATACCACATCTCCTTATTTTTATATTGAAGTATAAATTGTCTAATAACTAGACGTTGCTTCTGTTAAATTAACACGTTTGTGATTTTCAGAATTAAATTGTGTTGTATTTTAAATGCTTAACCTTCTTTGTTTTTGCTCACAAGATGGGATGAAGTATTTGATTTTCACTTGACACATATTATATCATGACAGCCTTTAAAAAAATATTTCGTTAGATTGACCTGCAATCTTTAAAAAAGTTGTTTCAGATATATAGAATTTATCAGATAATACATCAATTTTAATCATTGAGCATGGCTTACCACTGCAAGTAGAATAATCACAAACTAAACAGAAATTAAAATCATATGTGCTACACTCGTTTGGACAATCAGCTGGGTAAGATGGACATCCTAAAATAAAAAAGCAAACAAAAAATATAAAATTTATGTCTTTCTATGAGGGTCTAGAGGGGGGTCTTCAATTCTGTATTATTTATTTTTTAAGACATTTTTTCTTCATAAATTTTGCCCATTTTTTCTATTCTTTATTTTTTTTGCCTATTTTCTGTAGTGTTGTCCCATTATTCCCTACTCTGTATACACTTCCATCCAGACCCTCTTCTATCATATAACACTGCACCATGTTTCGTCAAATATTCATACCTGAAAGTCCCATCCGTTCATATTTTTGAATCGAATATTAATGATGAGTCTTGCGTAGACAAAACGTTCATCTGACGTACCAAAATAAAAAGCCTTTTTAAAAGAGTTTTTACAAGATTATAAAGTACCATCAATAGTATTTTAGCACTCTAAATTAATGTCTAATAAGACTAACATTATGTTTATATATTTTTTTTTTTTACAAAATCGAATTATATAATCAAGACACATACATGTCTTTTATGTTATCGGTTATTGTCTCAAACTAAGTTTTCATAAGACAAGTATATAAATGCTAAAAGTTTGTATCAGACAATAACCTAAAATCTCGTTGTATTAATAACAGTATTGCATATCACAATCTTACCACCGAGAGCTGTTGTAGTTGTTGGTAAAACAGTTGGTGTTGTTGTTGCTTTAGTAGTTGTCGTCATTGAACTTGTTGTTGAATTATCTGTGGTTGTTTCTACACTGTATGGTGAAGTGGATGTAACATTCTGTGTAGTGATTGTACTAATCGATGATGGAAGGGGTGCTCCTTTTGTTATTGGCTTAATACTAGTGACCTTCTTTTGAGAAAAAGTAGTTTTCTTTTGAGTCGGTACTACAGTACTAGGAGTTGTAGCTATAGTCTTAGCTGTTGTCACTGGAACCTGCATAGAAGTTGTTATCTGTGTGGTAGTGGTTGGAGCCTGTGTGGTAGTGGTTGTAGCATGTGTGGTAGTAGTTGTAGCCCGTGTTGTAGTAGTTGGAGCTTGTGTTGTAGTAGTTGGAGCTTGTGTTGTAGTTGTTGGAGCCTGTGTGGTAGTGGTTGTAGCCTGTGTGGTTGTAGTTGGAGCCCGTGTTGTAGTAGTTGGAGCCTGTGTTGTTGTAGTTGGAACTGGTGTGGATGTAGTTGGAGCCTGTGTTGTAGTAGTTGTAGCTTGTGTGGTTGTTGTTGGAGCCTGTGTCGTAGTAGTTGGAGCTTGTGTTGTAGTGGTTGGAGCCTGTGTGGTAGTGGTTGGAGCCTGTGTGGTTGTAGTTGGAGCCCGTGTTGTAGTAGTTGGAGCCTGTGTTGTTGTAGTTGGAACTGGTGTGGTTGTAGTTGGAGCCTGTGTTGTAGTAGTTGTAGCTTGTGTGGTTGTTGTTGGAGCCTGTGTTGTAGTAGTTGGAGTTTGCGTTGTAGTAGTTGGAGTCTGTGTTGTAGTAGTTGGAGCCTGTGTTATAGTAGTTGGAGACTGTGTTGTAGTAGTTTGAGCTTGTGTGGTTGTAGTTGGAGCCTGTGTTGTAGTAGTTGGAGCTTGTGTTGTAGTAGTTGGAGCCTGTGTTGTAGTAGTTGGAGCCTGTGTGGTTGTAGTTGGTACCTGTGTGGAAGTGGATGGAGACTGTGAGGTAGTGGTTGTAGCCTGTGTAGATGTAGTTGTAGCTCGTATTGTAGTAGTTGGAGCTTGTGTGGTTGTAGTTGGAGCCTTTGTTGTAGTAGTTGGAGCCTGTTTGGTTGTAGTTGCAACCTGTGTTGTAGTAGTTGGAGCCTGTGTTGAAGTAGTTGGAGCCCGTGTCGTTGTAGTTATAGCCTGTGTGGTTGTAGTTGGAGCTTGTGTGGTTGTAGTTGGAATCTGTGTGGTTGTAGTTGGAGCCTGTGTGGTAGTGGTTGGAGCCTGTGATGTTGTAGTTGAAGCCGGTGTGGTTGTAGTTGAAGCCAGTGTTGTAGTTGTTGGAGCCTGTGTCGATGGTGCTTTACCTGCTAAAAAAGAAGATGAAAATCTAGTTGTAGTGTTTTAAATGCTCTTTTACCTTTGACGCGAAGGTAGTTAACACACATGAGTTTTTAGTGTTACTATACAGTAAATACCATTCATTAGAATACTCAGTGACATTATACAATCTTATCAAAACAGTACACATATTTCTGTATTTTGTAATTTTAAATACAATTATTATCATCTGTAAAAGCAATTTAATATTTAAATTACTAGGTGTTTGTTTAGGGGGGGTTTTAGGTTAATTTTCCCTTTGTAGCATCTTCTGAAATATTTTTAAAAGCATATTCAATCATAATGGATTCTTTTTAGCAAGTATTAAAGCTATTTCACCTTAGTCTAAGATATTATGAAGTGTTGATATGTAATACTGTGTCAAGTGTAATAGTAACACGTTGTATGCTATTAAATTCATAAAAAGGGTAACAGATGATGAATGATACTAAACGAATGAATGAAAATATTATTGCAGGAGCAAACATAATAAAATAGCAAAATAACATAATATATATGGTGCCAATAATGACAGTGAACAGTGTACAACATAACAAAGTTACAACAAGCCTAGAAATATAACTGTTATGCAATTATAAATTTGTTATCTTAGCTTCCATGATGAGAATAATAAATTATAGATTCCATGCGCCCAAAGCGCTTTTCTGGATTAACCTTCATCATAAACACTCAAACTGAAACATTTGATTGCCAGTGATGTATAAATAGGTAGAAACCTTTAATGCGTTAGTATATTATCAAAAGGGGCCCAAAGAAAATAGCAAAATTAAACTAATGTCAACCATGCCCGAGGGAGTTGAATAATTGTTTGAAAGTACGAAAGACTACACCAACCAACAACATTTGACTTGTTGTTTACCTTTATTACAGTCACAGGTTGGACATCCACTTGTAGGATCCACGCACATCTTAAATGGACACTTGGACATATCAAGCTTGGGACAGTTAGTTCCACCTTGTCCGGTTCCTTTATAAGCTTCAAATTTAAACAGAAACATTGTTTTAACTTTACAGTAACAAAACCAAAAACTAGTATATGTATTATAGAATGAGTAATAAAGATAAAATATACCGTGTATTCTCTGTCTTAAAAAAACTGTAAGAAATGAATGGTTTGAAAAATACTCATTTTAACATTTACTCTACCAACAATAAGGGACTTCGTTAATCAGATTATGTCACAAGAAAAGGCAAGAAATGAACATTATTTTCTACCTATCTATAACCGAAGCGATCAAGATATACAGATGACTTTTGTTATATACATTGTGCTGACTTATGGGTGTTTTGATTTGTTATGTTGTCTTGTTGCTGTCTCATTGACGCATGCCCAATGTCTCTTTTTTACAAATAGGATTAAAAAAACTGTGTTATTTTCTTCTTCAACTTACGCTTGCTTTGACCATTGCCTGTCTGATTGCATATTTGACATCCCTGGGAATCAATTGTTATACCAGTGAAACAGTTAACAGGAGAGGGATTACATACTGTGGAAAACATGCATAATTGGTTAACACACGATTAACATTCGTATTGAACATAGTATGATAAAACAGTAATTAAATTGTCTCAAAGTGTCAAATATTATACAGTGTTTCTGTATTTACTCCTGACCGCTAATTAAACTAATGTGATCTTTCAGAATTTTCAATATTGTTAAAGTCTGCAGTTATCCGTTTGTCAAAGGAGACACATGTGGTATTAATCTAACATGCATACTGAATCCATGTTTGTTCTTTGAATAAATAATATTTTATAATTTATACTATTTGTTAATTTGAATAAAAACATACGATGTCCTGATGACGATGACTGTTGTGAACTGGTTTTTGAACCTGGTGTATTTGTAGTTACTGCCTGTTGTGTAGCACCTTGGGTCTTTGGTCCAGACTGCGGTGATCCAGTTAATTGTTGAGGTCCAGTCTGAGGGGATTGAGTAGGATTCCTATTTCCACCCAAACCACCTGGTACAAAATTGCCAAAAGGATTCGGTTTTTGCTGCTGTCCACCTGAAATACTGTTTTGGATGAGATTTTTCGTAATAATTTTAAGCGCAAGTCTAAGTTTTCTCCCTTATAACTACAGTTAAGAGTTGAGAATACCGGCTACAGAGCACGAAATGCACGACTGACATCTTTTTTCAATTAAAATGAAATAATGCTTAATAGTTTTGATTTAACTTTATCAGTAAATATAGAAATACTATATATAAATATCAAAACTACTAGTTACTCAATTGAGACTGGATGTATAACTTGTTTTTTTCTAAAATGGTTGAATACTTGTAGTACGTTTGGTTGATGCATATACATTCATTATTCTAAAAATACCCGTCTGTTGTATAGCACCTTGGGACTGTGATCCAGATTGTTGTGGTCCAGGAGATTGATTAGGATTACCACCCAAACCACCTGGGGAGAAACTATTTGGTTGCTGCTGTCCACCTGAAATACTGTTCATGATTAGATTTCTCGAGACAATATACTGCTGTAAACTATAGTTTAAAGTTTACAAAATTTCTGACCTCAGTGCTTCACAGTTGCATAAGTTACGTCAACATGAAGCAATAACTGTTTGCGAGGCAAAAAGTAGTAAAAGTTCTCTGAAATCCGTGACGTAACTGCAAATTCACATGTTACAAATGTATGTTCTCTCCATAAGAAGGAGTCAACTCGTTCTCACTTTCATCAATATAAGTATTAGTTCATCTTGAGAAATTCTTATATCAAGGTCGAAGATGATTAACGACCACTTGTAACGTTGGATTTTCCAGTAGTTAGTGCAGGTTGATAACTTTTAGTGATAATAATCGATCCAGTGTAAGCCGTGTGTTAAACTTCACCCCCTTCTCAAGAAAAAATACTCACAAAAAACACCAAAAATAGAAATACAAACGATTGTTTGCATTCAGCTAAGGTTTTATTTTATTGTTATATGTTCTCGTATAACAAACGTCAGTTTATCAATATTTTCGATTGTGTATAAAAATAATTGTGACAAACAAACCTGAACATGGACATACAAAACAACCATTTTTCCAGGTTACGCATGTACACATAAAGTTCACCTGAGGACATGAACTAAAAGCTGAAATGAAAGCATCACTCGATAAGGTACGTAGAAATAAGAAGATGTGGTATGAGTGCCAATGAGACAACTCTTCATCCAAGTCACAATGTGTAAAAAGTAAACAATTATAGGTCAAAGTACTGTTCGGTGTGAGCCAAGGCTCCGTGTTGAAGACCGTACTGTGACCTATAATGGTTTACTTTTATAAATTTTGACTTGGATGGAGAGTTGTCTCATTGGCACTCATACCACATCTTCTTATATCTATTGTTAGCATATCTGGACAATAAATAGCCTTTGCTTTGTACATCTTTACTGATTTGTGGTTTCAAAATAATATACATTTTAGCCAGGAGGACCCACATGTTTGTTTACACACTTTATGAACTTGTATAATCTTTTTAGCTCTGACTTGTTGTTTAGTTTGCTCATCAGTTTTTAAAAATTTAATGTATTTACACGAGCTAAATATTATTTTTCGAGATATAAAAGGGACGATGTAATGTTTCTAAGTACATTTGTCGTTTACAACTTTGAAATTAGAAGTAAAATCAAGCTTTTCGGTGTTTTTTTTTTTTTTTTATTGATGTAACGTTTCCACTTAGAGCACGTGCTGTCAGATATGTTACATTTTATTAAGAAATAAAACATTATTTTGGAATGCGATTGTTGTCAAATTATGAAATCTTACGAATCATATAAATGCAAGTAATGTTATTAATCAATATGATATAAAATAATAAAAACTACAAATGTACTGTCCTTGTCTTATTTGGAATATCAATAAAATATGCAGATTTATAGCTTGCACAGACAAGAACAATTTAGTCTTGCAGATATATATTCCCGATTATCACAAAAGTTTGTCACTGAACGTTAAGAATGCACCAATCAATCATATTTTGCGTCCAAGGATATTATAAAGTACAATTACTTTCATAGCAATGCACATGGAATTTCCCTTACGTGAATTTCACCCCGAAAAAAATGAAATGAAAAGAAATTCACCTAATTTATTTTTCTGTGATTGTCCCCGAAGATGTCATTATTTTATATAAAAATCAATACATAATCGTTATTGTATTAAAAGATTATGGTATTCATTGTAAACAAAGTGCGGATCCAGATAGTTCATTTTCACTGTCATATGCGAGTATTACTATGATCGTAAAATAAAACATGATTGGGAAAAACCGAGTTTGTTTACTTTTTGAAAATACAAAATAATTGATTTGAATGCATGTTTGCACACAATCTCATTAGAATATGACTTATGTACAATAACATGATTAAAGTCCAAATATGTGTTATTAAAGCAACACAATGTAGAATATCGATGGTTGAAAGCGATTCATTTTAACTATAAGTGCGATGCATTATCACTGTACGTGCGAGTATTTCTGATGTGGGATTTCCGCGGTGCGATGATTTTTATGCCCCACCTACGATAGTCTGTGCGTCCGTTCGTCCGTCCGTCCCGCTTCAGGTTAAAGTTTTTGGTCAAGGTAGTTTTTGATGAAGTTGAAGTCCAATCAACTTGAAACTTAGTACACATGTTCCCTATGATATGATCTTTCTAATTTTAATGCCAAATTAGAGTTTTGACCCCAATTTCACGGTCCACTGAACATAGAAAATGATAGTGCGAGTTGGGCATCCGTGTACTATGGACACATTCTTGTTCATTATAGATTTATGTGATAATTGGACATGCAACGATTTCTCACTTGGATGGCTGTACGCGTTTCTCTTGTAAATGTATCATATATTTATAAACAAGAGTGCACAGGCTGAAATGTCTCGCTTTACTAACCATTGATTTTATGTTGAAAGTCTTAACGATAAAGGTTTAACTAAAAGCATCACAGAAACTCAGGTCAGATAAATGCTGTCAGACAGACATATACACCTAACCATTTTTTATACACAAAATATATTTGACCTATATCTTATGATAATTGAAAAACAGACAAAAAAAAAAACAAACAAAACAAATAACTTAACATTGACCTATGAACAATGAAAATGAAGTCAAAGTCAGATGATACCTGCCAGACAGACATATACACCTTAATCATTCCATACACCAAATATTGTTGACCTATTGTTTATAGTACTTGAAAAAAGACCAAAACACAAAAACTTAACATTGACCAATGAACCATGAAAATGAGATCAAGGTCAGATGATACATGTCAAACAGACATGTACACCTTACAATCCTTCTATACACCGAATATAGTTGACCTATTGCTTAAAGTACTTAAAAAACAGACCAAACCACAAAAACTTATAACATTGACCAATGAACCATGAAAATGAAGTCAAGGTTATAGATGAAACACCATTACCCATTACAGTCATTCTATACACCAAATATAGTTGACCTATGGCTTATAGTAATAGAAAAACAGACCAAAACTTAACATTGACCAATGAACCACGACAATGTACCCATTAGTCATTCCATACACCACATACAGTATATTTGACCTGTTGCTTATAGTATTTGAGGAACGGACCTAATCACGTAACTTTAACCTTGGTCACTTATCCATGAAATGAGGTCGAGGTCACGAGTGAACCCTGAATGACGGACATGTAGACGTTGCAATGAACCCATATACCAAATATGGTTATCCTATTACTCATAATAAGTAAGAAATTTACATGACAAAAAAACTCAATTTTTTTTTCAAGCAGTCGTTGAACCATGAAAATGAGGATAAGGACATTGGACTTATGACAGACGGAAACTTCGTAACATAAGGTATCTGCATACAAGATATGAAGCATTCAGGTCTTCTACCTTCTGAAATATAAATTACTTTTTACAAATAGTTTACGCCGCCGACGCCGCCACCGCCGCCGCCGGATAGTAATACCTTTTCGTCGCAGGCGAGACAAAACAATACATTTATTATATTATTTTTATCTTATTAAAAAAATCAGAAATTTTTCGTCTGTTTATTTATCATTCTTCATTAGAAATACATGACAGATACAGTAGAAATGGAATTTTAGGATTTGCACTTTGTATACACTGGTATTGCTATTTCAAATTTAAATGAGAAAGCTTGCTATATAAAAACATTCACAATTGCAAGTAAAAAATATGTGAAAATGATGTTAAACTTACATTACGTTATAAAGGTGAATTACAAATTAACAAAAATATTTTGTAAATTTCTCAAATATATACCCTCATGCATGCATTTTACATGAATATTAAAATTAGAGATATGTGGTATTGTTGCCAATGAGACAATTATCCACTAGAGACCAATGAAGTGAATCATTATAACCTAAGAGTCAAGTACTTTTTTAGTAATTTGTTTTTAATTAACGTCTATGACCTTTTGTCTCTGTAATAAAATAATTATATACTCACCGACAACTGTGGTACAGTATAAAACGAAACATCGGAAAACTATCATATTTTAGTAACTTTTTAAGGCGCTTGTTTAAATTATGTGGGAATACGGTTGATCTCAGTCCCGTCTACACCTAAAGACGCAAAGTTATTTCAGTTCAACGACAGGTGAAAGAAAATAGAAAATTGATAAGATACAGGTCTAGTCAACGTATCTGTAAATATAGATCATACATTGTTGCATACACATTTTATGGGATTGATATCTTAACGGTGACATGATATTCCGGAGCTTGCTTGGAGGTCAAATTTTCGAAAGTTTTACCTGGCGTGGTTGACCGTTTTGGAATATTTGTGTCCCAAATGAACACGGATTCGTTCCATTTGGAAAGATTTAATTAGGTCTTCTTTTCATCGATTGTATCTTTTTGCATTTTCCGATTTATCAAGGGAATAATTTGTTGATCACCGAGTTTAAATTATCAACAGCCCGAATAAAAATCCTGTAAGGATTTGTACGTGCCACCAGCAACACGGGACGTGCTAATCGCGGAGCAGACATTACTTACCCATCCAGAGCTTCAGAGATTTTGGGATGGTTTATGCTGTATAATGCATAGCGAAATTTTTTCTTTTTTTTTATTGAACACGGGTGTTGTCTGTGTTTCTTAGACTAGATGTTTATACCTTCTTGATATTTCATACTTTTATGTAATCATGGTAACTGATCAAAAGATCACACAGTCAAGGACTTATTGTTATTTGCATTAGGTATTTCACATTTCATATATAAGGCGATACACGTGTTCTACAAAGAATATAAATATCCTCTTTTAGTCATAAAGCTCTTAACTTGTTTCGGTTCATATACATCCTTATCTTTCAAATATTTGGCTTTGAACGTTTCTGATGAAGATTAATCCAGAAAAGCGCTTCGGACTTGTTTTTTCTTCTTTTTTAATATTGAATTTTGCTTTTTTATTCATGATATTCTTCATTGCCTAATGGAGTCAAAAATAGTTGACAAATCACAAACTATAAACTATTCACTGCAGTTCAATTGTGTTCTATTTTAAATTTACAAAAATATTATCACATAAAAACATTAACAAGAAATAAGAATTTGCATATTGACTTCGGTCAACACTTTTACACCCCAATAGAACTACAAAAAGAAGCATTCATTTCTTAAATAATTTTTAATAACATCACATTAAGCTTTATCAATGCTCTTGTCATGTTTTAATACTTTCACCATTTATTTCAGCTTCTCTAATTTTAATCGTCAAGTTTACAAACCAGAAATAAAGATTTGAAGGTGTTTTTTGTCGCCATTTAGTTTTATCTAGATATCATTATCATTTGACTCTTCAAATTAATTTTAATTTACCGTTTTTTTGTAATGCTGAACTAGTCACTAGTCTAAGACTACGAAACACTCTTTGCAAAAACAATATAATTACGAAAAAATGATAAAATTCGACAAAACTGAAGCAAATTTTCTTTTACAATTACTCTAAACGGACCGGTAACCTACTAGATCATCAGACTTTTCTCCTATGTAGCTTCATACAAACGTGACAAACGTAAATCAACGGGCGGAGTCCTCAATAACAAAAACGACACTCCTGCTTATTGAAACATTTTATTGTCTTTGTGTTAGGGATAACAACTGTTCCTTCACATATTTAGGTTTACGCATGATTAATTAATTTAAGATATTATGTTGATAAATTGAAATAGTTATTTATAAACATCGAGCTTTAAATATTTTAATCAATACAAGAACGATTACTCTAGAAGAAAAACTTTACAGAATATGATGCAACTTGTAGAAATGATATAAACTTTGACAGAATGATTAGTGTACAGGTTGTGCAATATTTGTGAACAGTATGATATATATATAATGAGTTACAACTAGATATTGTAAATATTTTGTAGGATCTTCTGTAGTTATTCAGGTAAATATAACTAAAATTCGCACACTCTTTTTATTATTTATTTAATAATTGTGTGGTATACTAATTAACTCTATATTTAAAGTTTAACACTTATTGACTTTTCACACTGATGTATGAATATGGAAATAAATAAACGAATTAAAAGAAAAATACACACGCCTTCCCCTATAGTTGGGATAATTTTTATTTTTGTTTGTGGGGGTTGGAGGGGGTAGAGGTAATTATAAATTTTTATCTAGCATTGCTTATGCTTTATATAAAGCAGTTTGTCTTAAATATTTGTTTCGCTTTTTGCAAGTCAGGGGGCCTCCTCCTTCCGAATATGAAAGGATTATGTTTACCTGCATTCGAGTATTATGTCGATAATAATTGGATTGAATTAAGGTCCTATCATTGTATGACTGCGGTGCCGTTTTGCATAGTTCCTTTATTCTAGTTGACCAATATTATGCACTATTCTTCTTGCTATACAATGCTGTCAAAGAATTGATACTCAAACAACCCATAAATTTAACGAAAAAAAAATTAAAAAAATAAAATGGCCCATATACATGTAATGGCATACTATCGAAAAATTAAAGTAACTGCCGTTTACGAAATATTCCGAGAAACTCGAAGTGGATTGAAGTCGTTCGGTATATTTTCTAACTGTTATCCTGGTCGTTTGACACATGGTAAATTATGGAACTGTTTTGACTTTCTTGATAGACACATCAACAATGACTTCTTGTTTTATCAAATACAAAAAGCAATTACAAAAACTATCTCCCTTTTATGTTTCCCATGATAGCAAAGATCGTCCAATCTGAAATGATTATAACACACATTTTTTCCCTAGAGAAAGAGGCTATAAAGAAGTCCATTTATAAATTTCAGTCATCTATCTCAATAGAATGCAATAGACTTATGTTAAAATCCGTGTCTTTAAAAGCATATATGTTTTTAAAGTTTTTTATGCGAGTGTGGTATTGATGTGGGGTAGTAGGGGCACTGCATGCTTTATGAAAATTCTGATCTATATATCTGAAACCCGAGTTAATGTATCTCTTACGTTTTTGTGAGGAGCTTTTAGAAGTATGCCAATTGATTTTTCCAAGGTCATAGGTCTGTATATATATTCTTGATTTAAAATAACAGACAGCAAACGATTATTTTGTTTTTCCAGGTTCAACATGGAAACTAGCACTGTGTGCACTGAGCACCTCAAGTTATGCAAGTTTTATTGCCCAAGACACACAGATATTCTATGTTCGCAGTGTACAGTAAAATACCTTCACCGATCATGTCATTTGTCTGATATAGATGAGCTCTTGTCGAATTCTTACTACGGTCCACTTGTCAAACACGCGCATGAATCGGTCACTGAAAGCCTAGAGATTATCCAACAAAAAGTTCATGACTTGAAGCAAAATCACAATACCGAAAGTGTCAATTCGGTAACCAATCAAGATGCCGGAAAGGTCAATTCGGAAGCTAATGACAATACTCACAATACAGGAAGTGACAATTCGGAAACCAGATCTTTCATGGTGGAATGTAGTAAACAATACGATTCGGTCACAATTTCAATAATCACAAGAATGAACGAGTTAAAAGGCAGTGATATGACAAAAGAACAGTTCTGTTTTGTTGTATCAACGTACCGATTTCTTTTCACTTTAGGGAATATTTTACAAAATGTAAAAAAGTATTTTCATACGAATGAATGTTGCATATCCTTTTTGAAATCATGTCAACAGCTGATTACAACGTTCCATCTGCATATACGAATGAGAGAGAAAACATGTTTGGTGAATATAAGCAGTTATAGTATAGTTCAACCGTTAAGCAATAATTCGGGTAGATTGGTGATCGAACTCAACAGGAAAATTATTTTACCAAAAGGAGAAAGAAAGTTTATGATAACTTCCTGTTGGTTCATGCCAGATAGTAAAATGGTATTTCTAGTAACATTTGTTCATACTCTTGATAAGTCTTTAATTATTCACGATGAATACGGTTCGCCAATCCAATCTATCCCCATATATGGACGATTATGGGACGTAACCCCGGTTGGTATTGACAAGATGATTGTTCGTTATATTGATTGGAATTGGTTTGAGGTGCTTGACTTTTCCCAGCCTAATCGTGTCGAATCAAGGAGGTTAAGACAGATATCCTTCAAAAACGATTTAAAGTTTAGTTCATCCGATAATTCTTTCGTGGAAGTTTATCGTCCTTCTGGTGAAATTATTACGTCATTTCCGGTAGGAAAGGATAGATTGTTCACTGAAATATGTTCAGACAAGTCAAACATTTATTATATCGACAAGAAGCGAAACATCATGAACTGCTTTAGAAAAGATGATACATTTAAACGGATGTGTAAATTCGATAACAATGAATGTATTACTTCAGTCATGGCAATAGGCAGTGGATGTGTTCTGTTAACCGGTAAGCACAATCTAGCCGTCCTTAATTTTGACCAAAGAATTAGGCATAATGTCAAAGTGGACGGAGCAGAAAACTTCAATGATATGTGGACAAGTTTTAATCGTAAAAATAACACGTTGTTAGTTTGTAGTAATAGTGACGACTTTGCGTTATTATTTAACGTGAAAAGCGCAGAAAACTAACTGTGTAATGCAAATTGTGTTATGATAGATAAATTAATGTATTTAAAAAAATCGATGCATTTTAATTTGTGTATTTTTTCATTCAAATAACAAACACATAGTAATAACGTTATATCATTGAAAACATTAAAAAAAAACCACACAAGCAATAATTTTATGATATAATAATAATGATGTGATATACAAAGGAGAGTTATCGGTTATCACACACAACGTGTTTAAACATACCATTAAATGGTTATTCGAACAGTCCCATTAATCTTAATTGATCTCCTTTTAAGCTACATAAATTTAACTCCTGCTCGTCGAATGGTAAAAAACACAAATTGCGCCAGGAATCTACAGGTTGATAATTAGTCAGGTATCTTATTATAATACAAGACTTATATCACCATAACTTTGATTGTTAATTAATCAGGTATCTTATTACAATACAAGACTTATGTCACCATAACTTTGATTGTTAATTACGTTAGTTTCTGCAGTTTCCAAAAATTACCAAAACAATAACATGCTCCGCTGGGCGCAGCTTGATACGAACGCAGAGGTCGAATCCTGAACAGTTGGGGCAAGTATGATCATTACATGCAAGCTTGATACATCTGATTGTGATTAAATATTTGACACAGCATTTGTTTCTGAATGTGGTCAAAGAACTGAAAAATTTGTGAAATTTTAGTTTTACCTATTATGGTCCAATATCCAAAATTTAAATAGACGGTTAGATTCAGAATATCCAAGTACACCAAGAATTTTTTTATTAATTGTCCATTAATTATTTATTAATGGACAATACGAGCTTACTTTTTAAAGGGGTTCGCTTCATAAAAAAATGCATATAGGGCCCCAAAATTAAAAGTCTAAATTCATGGTTAGATTCATCATATCAAAGAACCCCATTACTTCAATTTTTGATGAAATCAAACAAAGTTTATTTTTGGACCTCAATTTGGACCAATTTAAAAACGGGGTTCAAAATCCTAAATCGTAATACAGGTTAGATTCATCGTATTAAAACAATCACATGAATTCAAGAATTTGAATTAAACCCCATTGAAATTTTATCAGAAATAAGTAATTTATACAAAGAATTAAAACAGTGTTTTTTTTGCCCCTTTTTCCTACACGATTAAGGCCATAATCCCAAAATCAATCCCAACCTTCCTATTTTGGTATAGAACCTTGTGGTAAAATTTCATAGAGAATCATAGACTTATCCTCAAGTTATTGTCCGGAAACCAGAAAGTTCTAGTTTTTTTTTGTCTCCTTATTCCTAAACAGGTAGAACAATAAACCCTAAAATCAATCAAAACTTCCTTTTGTGGTATGTAACCTTGGGATACAATTTCATAGAGATCCATATACTTATACTCAAGTAATTTTCTGGAAACCAAATGTCTTCGGACGACGACGACGCCGACAACGTCATAACATTATACGACCGCATAAAAAAAAACCAGATACGTAAAGAACACAGCAAACACGACTTACGTCACCAATGGAAGATCTAATATTTAAAATAAGCTCCACTAATCAAAAACTTCAGAAAACAAACTTGACACATGAATTTAACTTTACAAACCGTATAAATATACCACTGAAAATTCATTTGAATAAATATAATGGAGTCATACTATTCTTTTTGAAATTTAGTTGTAAGAATGAGTGCTCATACACTATATTATTAAGTGATAAATTGTTTGTCTTGCATGTTGCAGTTTCAGAACACGACAAGAGTATCTCGATAAAACGCAAGAGAAACAACCAAAAGCAACAGAAACTCATTGAAAAAATAATATAATCTTCATTTTTGCCCGAGGATTTTTTTCGGCGCCTTTTTAAAAACAAGCAAAGACTCGTTCAAACAATTTTATCTTATGTCCCACACTTTCCCTACGATACACACAATTACCCCGACAAAACCGAGAGCATGGGACCTTATAATATTGGCAAGACAGCGCATGACAACTAGAACCAACAAAACAAAAGAAAAAAGAATCTTTATATGCTACACAATATGCTACATAACCTAATACATTATATAGACAAGGTTAATAAAAGAAGATAGTGGTAAATGCCGTAATCATATTAATAACCAGTAATACCTTGTATGGCTTTTTAAATAATCTAGGATCCTTCCCAATATTTTTATTGTCCGTTGCGGCTTTTTTATTATTTCATTTCTTTAAATATAAAATATCTAACCAATCTGCCTGGTTATTGTATATATTAGTCTGCGGATACATCAACAATATTGTAAATTTAATGTTACACATTTATATTTTCATCTAGTGTAAAAATTGACGTGTGGTTCTGTGGTCCTTTCCATTCTTCTTCTATCAACGTTGCAAGTATTGGAAATCGGTCAGACCCGAATACCATTTCCGGTTTATTATTAATGTATATCACAATAGTAGGCACACCAAATGCACCATGATTCAAAGCTTCCGTTGTCACTGTTCTAAGTGTCTTTTTGATGGCGTCATCTGTAACTCTGGCAAAGGCGCTTTCTGATATCACATCATCAATGCCAGCCATTTTGGCGGCTGTCATAAGGTCATTTTTGTCAAATATGCCTTCATCACGACTCCACGCCCTCATCCACAATTCTCTAGACAGTTTTTCTGTGTATTCTGGATGTTCAGTGTTTATAGCGGTTAGAAACCTCATGGCTGACAAGGAGGTCTTCTCAAACATAACAACGGAGGGATTCTTTGGTATTTTTATAGGAATCTGGTAATACTTGGCTAATCGTGGAATATCTTTTTTAAAATTATATTTCCCCTTATTTGTAACATACACCGGTGATCTATTTCCAGATTCGTGAATTAGACCTCCGAGAAATACTGGTTTGAGTTTAAGATTCATGCTTGTCCAAATTGTTTTGTATCGAACTAGTACTTCAAAAGCTACCCAAGAATATGGTGACACGACGTCATAAAAAAGTTCTACACTCTTTTTGAGTGGTGACGACATTTTTATACCTATCTACACGTCGCACATTTGCTGTACGTTGAATGTTTAAATATCCATCTTCTCATCAACTGAAAAAAAGAAATAACATAAACAATTAACTTTTTCAGATTATGCACAAAATTTAAATTCGATGTGCTCGGCCTCGAGTGCGATAGGTCATAGGTTCGATCCATGCAATGGTGGTTCAAATGATTTGAAAATTGATATTAGCTGCTTCTGCGCTAACCATGCGACCTTCAGAAGAAATAGTAGTCGGCTGTTACCTTGTGAACTAGCACGTTAAAATCAAACTAAGCGTTTTGGTCTATAGAAAAGTGACGTCCATATCTATTTCATATTAACATGTTTTTGTCCTGATAAGCATGCATGTAATACTTGCCAGTGGACGTTATACTACAAATCAGCAGCATCATTTACAGTAAAATTTTACTTGTCAAAAGTACGGGATTAACTTTGGAATAATTGTAATGATTTGCATGCATGGACTTGATTATGATTTACTGTGGAAACATCTACAAATTTTCCCCTACTAATCAAGTATTTATCGACCAATGTAAAAAACATGGGGGAAGGAGTGGTCATTTAATTGTATCGGGGTGAAAATATACATTCTCGTTCAGTCAGCGGGAGGAAGTTTAATTTGACAGATGTTTATCTGATGCTTTGTGTTTGGGTAGTCAAGTTCTCTTACGCAAAATAATCCCTTGCAATAATTTAGTGTGGTATCTGTAAAATTCCTATTGCAAGTCAAAATGTTCTGCCCAGTGGAAGTCTAAATTTCCTTCATCCCAGCCGATCCGTTTCTAACCTATAATATGTTCTGCTTCGGAATATACATGGAATATTTTCAATTAATTGTTATTTCAGCAAATAGCTACTCTCAGTCATTTTGAAATATATTGAAGTTCCTAAAATTATACAATTGCAATGAAAGAGATGTGGTATGAACGTCAGTAAGACAACTTTCCAGAGGCGGATTTAGAGGGGCAGGGTGCCCAGCTCCCCTTATGGAGCTACATATAAATTATGATAAATACATAGACTTTTTACATGTCCCACTCCAAAAGTTGCTTACTTTTGGGGCCCTGTTCCCCCCTTTTTTCAAAACCTTTGATCCGCATCTGCTTTCTACCATAACCCAAATGACGTGCGTATAAGCAACTGTAGGTCAAAGTAAGGCTTCAGCGAGCGCAAAATCCATACCGTATATAGAAGGCCACATAAGACCACATTTTCATATTTTATATGTCATGTCTAGTCTATGTATCAATTTGAATTTTGGAAACCATCTTCTAATTGCCGAGAGGCTGAGGTAGTCGAGTGTTGAAGAAGTCGTTTAAGGTATACACGTCACTGTAAAATACCACAATTTCAATGTTAATTCGGACCCGTTTAGAACACCAAACCGATGAGTTCGATTTCAAACAATAGATGATAAGGTTTGCCAGCTGTTACATGTACTACATGTAGCCAATGTCGGCAGTTCCCGCATGCACGAAGGGAAAGCCGTGATATATATTGACTGAAAAATCCAGATTTGAATAGCATGTCAAACGAGAGATAAGACAACAATAATTATAGTATACAATAAAATAAGGTAAATACCAATTTAAGGGTTACTAGGGTATAGACATAAGTTCATCCCTCGAACTTCTTCGGGATGAATTAATATGCGACCACGTCCGGACGGAATGGGGACGTTAAATACGATGCCTCGGCGTAAAGGGAGTGCCAAGCTCTCTTTATGTTACAAAATCATAGCAATAAACTTTGAAAAGCTAGCCTATCGAACATACTCCAATTTTTGGGTGGCAGTAGAAATTCTAGCTCTTATTCTACGTCGATCCATTTTGCATACCATACCTATTGGATAAACTGTTAAATGATTGTTAATTTGTTCTCGTATTGAATAAGCATGAACTATTTACCACTGGATTGCAAATAACAACAATTAATTAAAGGTTGTCAATCGTTTCGGAAGATGAGTTGTAGCGTGTTTGCCTTAAGTGTAGGTGGTCGTCAGTACGTAGATGCGGATTTAGGATTTGGAAAAAGGGGAGCACGGCCCCCAAACTAGGCAAAGTGATAAGTGGAACAGGTAAAAAGTCTTAACCATAAAAGTAGCTCCATAAGGGAGGGGCGATCACCCTGCCTCCCCTTAAATCTGCCTCTGGTACGTATCTCCACATATACAATGTTGGACTTTCAAATTGCTATTTACCGTTTCTTGGCTAAGAATGGAGGATGCAAAAGTAAGAGCAATGATCTGGTTGGCTCGGGAGTCAGAATGACGCATTTATGTATGATGGGTGACAAAGTACATGGGTATGACAAAGTACATGTTGTGCATGAAATATTCAATACTGGTCTTTAATCATTCAACTATCAATCATATCATTTTTGTTAAATTGATAGTATTGTATCAAATAGCTTTGTACAGTGAAAATTTTTTAAAGACTTACAAATGCTTTGCAGTATGCGAAGAATTGTCAGAATACGTGTAATGCTGCGAAAATTCGAAAATATACATGTTATGTTCGGTATTGACCGTCCGAAGGATTTAAAAAAAAAAAAAAAAAATAGAACCTAAAAAATCAGACAACAGTTACGTTAAATTATGCTATTATATCAAAACAAAATGCTTTGCCGAGCGCAACTGGATACGACCGCAGAGGTCCAACCCTGAACAGTTGGGGCAAAAATGGACACAATATTCGCGCTTGATACAGGTCTGAAATTGGATTGTAATTAAATATTTGACACATAATAGGTCTCTGACACAGAATAACTGTAGTCAAAGAACTTAGATTTGGTTATATGATTTGAATTTATATTCATTTTTTTGCTTTAGTGCAATACACTATGTTGTTGCAATTGGACCCCCCCCCCCCCCCCCCCCCCAAAAAAAAAAAAAAAAAAAATCAACCCCCCTTTTTTTGCAAAAAAAAAAAAATATTTGAAGAAATTTTCTTTTAATTTCTGAAATCTGAAATGAGAAAAAATTGTCCCCCCCAATTTCTTTTTACCCCCCCCCCCCCCCCTCCCCTTTAAAAAAAATCTTTCCCTCAAGATATGGTCATTATCTCAATTCATATTTCCAATGGAGTTTGCAACCATAATTACCCATTGAAATACATCATAAAAGTCTTAAAATAGAAAATGACATACATAATCATGGCTAAAATTAATATTCATTAAACGGCATTTTTAATAGTAACTTCTAAAAATAAATTGAAAGCTAATCAATTCAAGACAATACAATATTTCTTTATACATAATTTAAAAGCAGTGTAAGGGAGGTAATCCAAACATAACATTGTACTTTGAAGTAATTGTCCATTTACCCGGAAACCCTTGTTTTCCACCTTTTTTGCCCCTTATTCCTAAACGGTTTGAGCCATAACCCCCCAAAGCCAATCTAACCATCCCTTTGTGGTATGGAAACTTGTGGTCTAATTTCAGAGAGATCCATACACCTTTCCACAAGTTATTGTCTGGAAACTAGAAAAATGTTTATTTAGACCCCTTTCTGGCCTTATAATCCCTAAACTGTTAGGACCATAACCCCCAAAATCAATCCCAACCTTCCTTTTGTGGTTAAAAACCTTGTGTTTAAATTTCATAGATTTCTATTTACATATACTAAAGTTATTGTCCGGAAACCAAATGTCTTCGGACGACGCAGACGACGACGACGACACGACGTGATACCAATATACGACCGCAAAACTTTTTGCGGTCGTATAATAATTTGCGTGTTTTACATACCTTAGAAATTAGCTCCCAATAGCACTTTAATATTTACTTCAACATTTTTACATTCAACATGTTTAAATTATTAAACACAATTATTAAGAAAAACATTTATAGATTATATATATTGTTTAGAGTCCAATAAAAAGAGGTTAATTTGGAACAATTTTTTTAACGTCATAATTTGAGTTAAATATTATCATGATTACTGAAATTATCTATGTATACGTAAACAAATTAAATTCATTTTTTCCAACACGCAAATTTCATGTTACCACGAAAACTTTGTTATTCCAAGATCATAATAATATATTGCCTTACGGATGTTTTATATGAATGAGTTTAAATGTTTTAGTTGAATACATTAACCATGTTAACAAAAATATTCTTTTCAGATCCTGTTGAGCATGTCATTCGTGCATTTTGTGTATTTATCGTATTTACCGTTTACAACAATTCTTGTTTACACACGTTTATTTCATTGCGGTTGTGTATACAATTTTTGATCAATAAATGTAAGAAACAAATTGATCTTGCGATCAGCAGGCAATGGATACAGGTATGTGCGTATTTATTTCTATTTTTACAACATTGTTTACAAAAACGAAAGTGACATCAATATTGTTCCGATTTATCATTAAATTATAATTAAAGTTTATGAGGTAATTAAGCGAAAAAAGTATAAACAAAATGTATATTTACTTACTGTCGTCTAAAAATAATGTGGAATCAATAATCTACATTACACTGACAAAACAGGGACTCTATATTATAATTTTGAAGTAACGGTTCACATGAGGTCATCACGTCACATGGTATATATTTGATAATAGTATCTGATAAGTACCAATTACTCAATTGTATAATTTATTGGCTGTATACATCGTACAATACGTGTAGTTCTGTATATAAATTGATAAGGAAAAAAAACGCGATTTGATTAACATGATTAATCATCTCAAATATTTAATAATAAAAGGGGGATGGGTAAGATCTTTTCTGTTAAGGTGTTTTATGCTTTTTTGAACATTTGTTAACTGAAAATATATGTGCTGTTAACTGTATATGTTATTGACTGTTTTTATACGACCGCAAAAAAATTGTGTTCGTATATTGCCATCACGTCGTCGTCGTCCGAAGACATTTGGTTTCCGGACAATAACTTTAGTTTAAGTGTATGGATCTCTATGAAATTTAAGCAAAAGATTCAATAACACAAATGGAATTTTTTTTTCCTTAAGGTTTAACAAAATTATCAATTTTCCGTTATTTCTTTTAGGGGTGTAAATTTTTTTTCTCCAAGATTTAACAAATTATCAATTTTCAAAAATAAAAATAGGGGGTCACAATTTATTTTGCTAGTTCTTTCTATATAGTCTGAAAACAGATTTACTAAGTACTGCGCAACAGCACAGTGTATTGCACAACAGCAAGAAATCTTCAATTGAATATAAATTCAAATCATATAACCAATTGCAAGTTCTTTGACTACATTTATTCTGTGTCAGAATACCTATAATGTGTCAAATATTTAATTACATATATCATTTGCACATTTGGACCATTTCATTTCACGTATGCTCAATATTTAAAACAGAGCCCACACTATAATATTTACCGGGTTAACTTTGTTCACAAAGCCATTATCATTTCTCACCGTCAGGAACCGAAACTCCAGGGGTTGACGGGGTATAAAAATATAGTCATCCGTTGGACTTCTTCCGTGTGACAGTTAAAGTCTTGCTAAAACAGGACGTTCATATGGCTTTGGGGATCTATAAATACGCAGTAACGTCCTCGTGTGGAATGAGTGCCACACTCTCTGCAGTTAAAAAACCAACGCTTACAACAATCTTTGAGGAGTTCGTTGTTGGCCTGTTGAAAGGCATAATTTCTGTCTCTATCGAAGTTTACCTCATTTTCCAGTCTTGCCAGTGGTAGACGACATTTTACCCACCCACGTTAATCCTGGTCGACCCATTTTTCAAAACAGACCTTTTGTATTAACAGTTAATTGGTTTATCGTCCTGAATATGCATGAAATATTTGCCATTTGACGTTAAGAAAACAACAATCAATCAATCATCAGTAGGATGATAAGATAAATACATATTGTTAACAGAATATTGATATCTCTTTATATTCAAAGTTCAATATATACATTTCATCAATTTTCCACCCCAAGGGCGACTGGGGAAAAGAAATATGGCCACTCTAGGTCTTCTTCCGACCTGCAAATAAACTCTTGCAAAACTAGGGGTGTTCGTTTGGTTGTGCGGAATTTACAAGTACGCAGCCACGTCCGGTCAGAATGGGGACGTAAAATCCGATGCCTCGTGTAGAGAGAGTGTCACGCTCTCTGCACGTAAAGAACCATTGCAACAACTCTTTTTGAAGGGTCCATAGATGTCCTTGTTGCAAGGCAAAATTTCTGTCCCTATTCAATATTCCCTCATTTTACAGTGGCAGTCAAAATTTCCCCGACCTTTATCCTGTACGACCTCTATACAGAACCTACCTATTGTATGTATTATTAATGTGTTCTCGTCCTAAACATGCATGCATTATTTGCCGCTGGACGTTAAGCAACTAATATTCAATCAATGAAATCATTTTTTCTATCATTGAACGACATTGTAAACTCTAGAAGTAGGGCCTGTATATTACAATCACCCTGTCCGTCCGTTTATCAAACAAATATGTTTGTCGCACTTTTCTTAAACTGCTTTACCGAATGATTTCGTATTTAGTCAGCAGCCTGACAGTCATGAGTTGGAACGTGTGAGAAATTTTTGGATATGTCAGCCATCTACTTCCTGTTTGCGCGCCGATACCGTGATTTTTTTAATATACGGAATGAACTTAAAATTTTCGTCACACATGTTCTTTTATACTACTGAACGGAAGGACTTTATATATATTGTCAGCAATTCAACAGCGATGAGGTGTGAGTGTGTGCACATGTCGAACGAGTGGGGATATGCTTAGCTCGGTAACGCGTACATGCTTGTTTTATCGCATTATAGTTCAACGAGTCAGAACCGATACCAAAAGATATTTGCATTGTGACTATACGGCGATACGAGACGTATCACATTTTTGTCCTCTAATTTTATTGTAAAGAAGACCGAAAAAATAAATATAAAACAATTCGATCATCTTACCTAAGAAAGGTTCTACTGTACTTTTTCGTTAGAATTATTTATATTTGAAGATAAAGGCAATAATGTCAAAACAATGGATTGTTGAGGTAATGTTAAGCAGAAAACAATAATAGATGATAAAATTCTAAATTGAATAAAATAGTTATAGTTAATTAAATAGGGAGTGATAGGAATTGAAAATAACAAATATGAAAATCTCAGAGGAAGTATGTGTTAGCAAAATATCAGAAAGTTATTCGCTCGATTGAAAATATAATTTATTGCATCTCCTCATAAAGTTCATAAATACCTTAAATACACTCAATGCTTCACTTACTTCGACTGGAGATCAAATTAAAAAGTAACTTTATGTTAAGCACAAGTTATATGTTCATGTATCTGTTCCCAATCGGGAACCTCGTCAGTGGTTGTATTTGCAATAACTTACTATTTTTGGTTGCTCTTCAGTGAATAACGATGGATTTCAGATTCTTAATAGTCTCTTTACAAATACATTTTCAATTTTTTAAAGTTTACTAAATGGTATGGGCTATGTTCATTGTTGAAGGTCGTCCAGTGCCCTTCATAGTTGTTTACATTCTCGCTCTTTCGTCTCTGGTGGATAGTTGCCTCAATGGCAATCATACCACATCTCCTAATCATGCATGCTTATGTTTACTTTCAGATTTAGAGTGTACAATATTGAATAAACCACTTCATTATAATGGTCAAAACCTTTGTGTGGACCTCTAGATGCTTTGGTTTATGTTTTGTTGGGTTGCTTTCTGATTGATGAATACCCCTCATCTATTTTATATTTATGTTATTTATCAACACGAAGTAGGCATATTGTAGAATATATTAGCACCCACACTTTATTTTAGATAGCAATAGAAAAAGACAGCGATATCTAACATGGGACCAGTATTTTATGGCAGTTGCCTTGGTTTCAGCAGAAAGAAGCAAAGATCCTGTAACGCAGGTTGGTATCTGAAATTTATCCAGCATCATATTACCCTTAAGTGGGTACCCAACACTTTGACTAAAATAGATTTGGCTTGTTTAATTTTCATAAAATTTTGACAAACTATTTACTCTGACATGTTGACAAAAATATAAAAATTTCATGAAATTTGAACCACACAATTTATAGGAATAATTTCATTAGATATGTAGCAGTTTGACAAACACTAGTTTTGATCATTGAGAAGCTTGATCTCTCTTTACTAATAGCATGTGATTAAAACGTTTAGCTGATTTTTAAAGAGTTAACTCCCTGAGGTGTTCTGTACCCCCGTAAAACCAATGCAAAAAAAAAGAAGATGACGTATTATTGCCTATGAGATAACTATCCACATGAGACCAAATGACGTAGATCTTAAGCAACTATATGTTGCCGTATGGCCTTCAACAACGAACAAATCCCATACCGTAAAGAACGCTATAAAAGGCCCCGACATGACAAAAAGGAAAAACGTACAAACGAGAACTCCAACGGTCTGTTTTTTTTTGTACATAACACTATAAAAAGCCACAAAAACAAATCAAAGTACTGAAGTACTGAACATCGGATGACCACAAGTTCTTGAGGATGGTCAAAAGCACTTGTCTCAGAAAAAAAAACAACATATCTCTTTACCTGAAACTGAGGTTAATGTACAGAGATATATTTTTTTCTGAGACAAGTTCGTGCGTGGATGATGAATAAATGACAGGAAATTCATCTTCACCGTAATAACTACATGTATTATATTGTAGTGATACAAATCAGTATACACTGATTTGTTGTTATATATTATATTAAAATAACAGTTACATACATATATGATTTGCATCCATTTGTATATCATTCTATTCTACTATTCTAATAATAGTGCAATGCAAGTGCATGGTGGACACTTTTCTGTAAAAATTCGATTTTTCTAAGATTGGATACGAGTAGGCATTCATATTTTCCCGCAAAAACAATTACAGAGTTACCGGTCCTTCAAAACGTTCTTTGAGATATTCTTCCGCATGCTTTAACACAATTTTTCGGTACGGGTGCATTGATATTATCAATGATTTTTTACTTATATATATATATATCTAACTACAAAACATTTTCATATTATTAATTTATGTTGTAAACAAAAATATTTTTATCAGTATTCATTGAAGAGATGTATTTATATCAAACGATAAGGAATGTTATTTTGCATTCGTTTATGTGCGCATATTTATCATGTTTATAGATCGGTTACAAACCCAAAACTAATTTACATAATGGAAATCTAGGCGATAGCAATACATCGGGATGACCTCAAGGTCATCGCGATGTAATAAAAATGATGGACAGCCAACAACGACAACCACTGAATTACATTATGATTAAGTTCTGTTAAGGTTAAGAGGAACAGGTTGAGATTTAGCAAAAGGGACATGCAAAAGACTTCTGACTGCGATTAGATAATCATGGACCTGATTCAAACTAGATAAGCTCACATGCCCAGGTTTCGCTAAAAAGAAATAGTCGTACTATCTTGATATTTTTTGTTTTTAGAATGAGGGATTTGTATCTTACAAAAACTATTGATATGAACTATATGTGATCCTTTTGAATTTTGAATGGTTTGTGGGATTTAATTTAATCAGATATCAAGTGTTGACTATGTGTAATATAGAAATTATGTCATCCCTTGGTGTTCTCCTGATCGGCAATGAAATACTTACCAAAATGGGTCGTCCATTTGCCTGTGTCGGATGTATAAATTCGCAGCCACGTTCGATCAGAATGAGGACGTTAAATCCGATGCTTTGTGTAGAGAGAGAATGAATAAGGGCAACAGTAGTATACCGCTGTTCAAAAGTCATAAATCGATTGAGAGAAAACATATCCGCGTTACAAACTAAAACCGAGGGAAACACATCGACTATTAGAGGAAAACAAAGGAACAACAGAAACACTGAAGTGTAACAAAAACAAACGCCAACATACATAGAAACGAACTATTTGATAACAACTGCCATATTCCTGACTTGGTACAGGACATTTTAAGAAAAAAATGGTGGGTTGAACCTGGTTTTATGGCTAGCCAAACCTCCCGCTTATATGGTAATGTTAAAAAACTATTGCTAAAATGACAACACTACGTGACAGAAATACAGCACAACACACACAAGAACACTCATCACAGAGAAATGCACAAATAAATAATATAATACTCGATACAACAAACATCTTCCATTAACGACAGACAGCACAGGACATCACAAACAGTGACGTATTTTTGTAACGGATATATAATCTTGAAATTCATACAATTATTTTCACAATACTAGTCCAAACAATTATCATGATAAAGACGGTATTGAAAGGCTATTTTATAATTATTTGGAATACAAACGATAAGACATAACACATTATCTAACCGAAACCACAACAGAAACATCATAAATTCATGAATGTTGGATGTATAAAATACCGAGAGACGTCGTATAGCAATGCAAATTCACACTCGGCAAAACAGTCATATTCGGGAATAGGTCACGTTCGGTACTTAGCAGACGGACGACATAGATGTTAAACCACAATTTAAATTTAATTTGTTCTCGTCCTCAATATGCATGAAATGTTTGCCACTGGACGTTAGGCAAACGACATATCAATCAACAAATTTAATCAACTGTATATTTCTGCATGATTAACAGTAAAGAAGACATAAATTACTTAATTAGTCCTATTTGCACAATTTTCCACAGTTATAAAGACTAAGACCAAAATCCAGATATTGAAAACAAACCAATTGTAGAAATACAAATTTACCACTATTCAAGTATTTATAGTCGTTCTGAAAATATTTCAAAATACATTTATTATAGATTTAATAGAAAAAAAATGTTTATATTTTATTATATTCTGAGTATTTTGCTGGATACTCAGAAAGCATTTCACAGGAATACGTCATTGGAGCTTGTACAGTGAAGTAGTAACAGGCAATCAGAAGTATAAAGAAGAGTTTTTGTTGTTAAAAAAAAAGAAAATATTTCAAAATAAATGGTATGGCATTGTTAGATCATTTGAAATTAGGTGCATTCCAGTCTTTCTTTTCTTCGACTATATCTTACACACGACATACCAGAGCATGGTGTTTTATACTTGTAGTTTATTTCAGGTTGGTGCTTGTATTGTTAATACACACAATATAATTGATGGTATAGGCTATAATGGCATGGTGTTTTATACTTGTATTTATTTCAGGTTGGTGCTTGTATTGTTAATACAGACAATAGAATTGTTGGTATAGGCTATAATGGTATGCCTAATGGATGCAGTGATGACGATATGCCATGGGGAAAAAATTCAAAAGACATTCTTAAAACTAAAAAATTATATGGTGAGGAAAAATCCTAGAAGTAAAAATATAAAGCTTTCTGTACACTACAAATACATTAGATATCTGGTTAACGAAAGTATTGTGATGAGATTAACTATTTATATGTACATGTACAGTGAGGGAAAAGTAAAACATAATTTTAATGTTAATGTAGGTTTATTCATGTGACTATATTGGTGGTAAATTGAGGTAAAATATTTAAAGAAATAAATTTTGATATTTCACATAAAACTAAGTGAATCTTCCATGTAATTGTAGAAAATAACTAATTCTTCTATAAAAGTTTTTGTATAAAAAGATATAATTAGAGTGTCTATAATGTTATGTAGCTTTTAATATATAAGTATTTGATGTGAAATTCTTCATATTTGATTAAACTTCACATTTAGAATATATATAAGATTTGACAGCTAAAACTCTTAGAGCCCTTTCCCTCTTTCCCGCATAACATGACCATGGAATTGAAATGCGAAACATCAATACATTTTTAGAGATTTATTTAAGAAAGCAAATGATTTGCCAAAGAATAAAAAAAAATTATTAAATCAGCAATTTGCCTGCATGTTGGGCCGATTTTTGTGTCCTGTACGTCATTGGTCAAATTTTATTATTATGGTATAACCAACATAATCAAGAATTTTTTTTCTGCATACAGTGTGTCATGCGGAGATGAACGCCATTGTAAACAAGATATCTGCAGACATCCGGGGATGTAAGATGTACGTAACACTGTATCCCTGTAATAACTGTGCAAAAATCATCATACAGTCTGGGATTAAGCACGTGATTTACTATGATGATAAAAACAGACATAAAGACGAGGCTAAGGCGTCACAATATATGCTTGGTAAAGCAGGAATAACGATCAGGTATAAAAGAAAGAAAAGAAAAAAAAAAACACCACACATTCACATATTCTTGCATTAACTATTACATAAGCATGTACGTTGAATAAAAATGAAAATTATTCTGAATGCGAGCAACAAAATAAAACCTCAGGTTTATTAAAACGTTCGATACGATTTTGATCGAACGGCATTTGTCTTTACACTGTTTAGGGTCACGTGTTACGTTTTAAAGTGAAGTTCAACAAATAAGTTATTTGACAAGGCTGAAATATACACAAGGACACATCTACTCACAAAAACCTACATAACTGTCGAGAAGCTAGGCCTTTAAAACTCGGGTGTGTTTTCATTTAATGGTATAGCTAACCAAGGATTAAGAGATTAAACGAAGTGTTTTTATTTGATTTTTACATGCAGATATTCACGACCAAATCTTCGATACGCAAAAATTTACGTAAACAAATAGATATAGGAAGATGTGGTATGAGTGCCAATGAGACAACTCTCCATCCAAGTCAAAATTTATAAAAATAAACCATTATAGGTCAAAGTGCGGTGTTCAACACGGAGTCTTGGCTCACACCGAACAGCAAGCTATAACGGGCTCCAAAAATTACTAGTGTAAAACCATTCAAACGGGGAAACCAACGGTCTAATCTATATATAAAACGAGAAACGATAATCACTTATGAACAATATCAACAAACGACAATTACTGAACATCAGATTCCTGACTTAGGACAGGTGCAAACAATTGCAGCGGGTTTAAACGTTTTAATGGTACCAAACCTTCACCCTTATCTGAAACAATAGTGTAACATCACAACATAGATTTGATTTTTGATTTTTGGTGTTTTAACGCCACTTTTAAGCACCGCTTTTGGGCTATTTCGTGGCGGCCAGTTTTTATTGGTGGAGGAAGCCGGAGCGCCCGGAGAAAACCACCGACCTTCGATAGGAAAACTGACAATCCTAGTCAATTAAGATTGGAGTCGAGTGCACCCGCACGAGCGGGGTTCGAACTCACAACCTCAGTGTTGACTGGCTAGTGATTACAGTAGTAACTACTTAGACCACTCGGCCACCGAGGCCCCTTCACAACATAGAAAGACACACTATAAAATATCAATTGAAATGGCTTAACTCAATCAAAAGACATATCAACACCAGTGATCTATGATACAATGTAAATACAAAATTAATAAACTAAGGGAAGAATAATTAAAGTAACATGTTATACCGCTGTGAAATGTTATACAATTTAAGAAAAACAATATGCAGCATTAATTAAGCAACACTATATGAAGTTTGTCAGTTTTTAAAATACGTCTTTCTATTCCAACTACTAGTTTTGAATTTTACATCAATTAAGGAATGACTGTAATTATTTTTTTGTCTATGAAGTAATAGCATAATAAATGTGGTGCACGCTGAATAACCCGCGTAGCGATTTATTTAAAAGTGTGCACCACATTTTTTAGGTTATTTGGAATAGACAGAAAAAATATTACAATCATTCCTTATAATTTAATGCTAAATTCCATTTTAAGGAGGAAATCATGAAAAAAAAAACGTTGTTGACGTCACGGTCACATGACAAAACTATGTTTATGAGCTGATAGACAAAAAACTTTCAGCCGATCAGAAGACTTGTTACATACAAAATTAAATTATTGATTAATAGATCTTAATATAATGAGGACATGTTTTCATTTTCAGGAAGTATAATTCGACTTCTACACAACTAAACATTGGAACTTTGAAGAGTCAATTATGACCATATATATATGACTGTATACAAAATCCGTACAGTGTAGGAAAATATCAAATTTATTTCACGAGCTTTAAAAAAATTAAAAGAGCGAAGCTGGCCGAGCTATTCTCCTGTTTCGTAACGAGTACAAATAAAATTTATATTTTCCTACACTACGAATATTGTTTTTATCCTGCAATTTAACATTGAGAGTTTTTTTTCCGCATCTCATTCCTCACATTAGTTTTTGAATGAACTCGACATGACTTAAAAGCGGACCGCAATGCGGACCCCGAATTGAACTGTCATGTAAACAGTAATTTGAACATAGCCGTTCGCTCGCAACAGAAGCAGGATACCAGACTGTAATCGTACAGTACACATTTATCGCTTCGTGATATCAGTACACCTGTTATTGTATAGTAGTAAGGTCGATTGCAGGATATAACAAGTTATATACGTATTACGAGTATCATATATGGATCGACAGCATATTCGATCGGACTTGTAAAGGATTCTGATAGAGTTGCATATACTTGGAGAAATATAGGCTAAAGATGCAACTTAATACCACTTATTGATATCTTACATGTTTTATGCATGGAAAATATGAGAAAAAAATACTAATATTCATTTGTATAAGTAAGAGATGAAATAAATAAAATCTGTATTGGTAACAGCAGACAAGGACACTTCTGATAGATTAATGGTTTTAATTTAATTTATAGTTTTACCATAATTTTTTATCAAAATAATAAATTGCAAATGGATCGAACGTAAGTTAGAAAAGTTAGAATTGCCGTTTTCGATTTCAATATCATTTCTTTTTCATACAATATACAATTGAAAACAAGGTCATGCATTTCTCACACTGTTTATGACCTCTTTACACTAAGTTCATTGGCTGTGTACTGATTGATAATTTTGTCTAGGAGAACATCATTTATTTCGAAGTTGTAATTGGCTTTGAACATGTTGAACATGTTTCCAGTAACTTCGAGTACTCTGATTTCTGTGCTTTGTGTCAATTGTTTTTCTTAGTTGTTTTTGTGCGTCGTACTGAGCCTTTGAGTTAAGCCAATTGCAACTGGTTTTTACAGTTAGTTCTTATGTTGTGCTGTTACACCACTGTCCCAGGTTAGGGGAGGGTTCACCGCTCACTAACATGTTTGACCCCGGCAACATTCTTTATGTGCCTGTCCTATGTAAGGAGCTTGTAGTGGTTGTCGTTAGTGCATGTCTGTTATATTTGTTTTTCGTATATTGTTTTGTTATAAATTAGGCAGCTAGTTTTCTCATTTTAATTATTTCATATTTTTATGTCGGGTTCTTTGATAGCCGACGATACTGTATGAGTTTTACTCATTGTTGAAGGCCTTACGGTTGCCTAAAGTTGTTACACTCACTTCATTTGAACTCTGGTGGATAGATGTCTCATTGGCAATAATACCACATATCTTTATGTTTATATTTACTCGGCCACAGTATGTATGTGTAGTCCCAAGTGAGGAGCCTGTTATGAAGTTGTTGTTGTTGGTTAATGTCTGTCATACTAGTTGATTTCGTTGAATGTTATAAATTATGCCGTTAATAGCTTCCTTCGTTTGAATTGTAACACATTTTTTATGTCGGGCCTTTTATTGCGGACTACAAGGTATGGGGTTTTCTAATCGTTAAAGGTGACTTAAAATTTTTATCGCACCGATCCGGAAGGTTAGTGACGTTGTGACCCCCAATGCATTCAAATGGAATCAGCAGATTTCAAAAGTGTGTTGTGACTTCACGTCTGTTATTTATGCTGACGTTATCTATTAGTGTTATTGTATTTCATTGTCTATTTTTATACAAAACCTGGCAGGAAAAGTCCCGTTGGCGATAAATTTGTTATACGGTTCACTACTGAGTCCCTATGGATTTATCACCTTCTACTGATCCGTATGGGGTCAGTAGCAAACCATTTATACTACTTAGATAACGAGGTCCAATTTTTAGCCGGCATGACGTAAAACTGACGAATCAAACGACCCAGAACTTGTTACTTATTGGCAATATTAATTATGTGGAAAACAACATAGTCTGGAATGGTGTAATGTATAAACAACACCTTTGTCCTATATTAGTTAAATATAAAGTTGAATTCTTTGAAATCCGAAACCGATACAAATAGTATACATGTCACATGTTACCTGTTACCTAATCTGTACTTTCCGCGTCTGCCAGGCGCACCACCAAACGGTGTATTTGGGATTTAATATATACATGGGTCATAATCACACCTGAACTTCGTCCTTAAATAAGTATTGACACTACTAAATTCAATCATTGACCAAAAAAAGTAGTTTCCGTTTGTTGTAAGAAAATCAGGACGAAAAAAAAACAGAAAGATTTTGAAAGCAGAGAAAATTGTGCACCTTATAATCAGCATGACTTTATCAAATGACAATACGAATATTTAAAATCAGGCTGAAAATAAGGCGTAGGTACTTTAATTCAGTCACGGACCCAAGGTGTCGCGGGTGTGTTCTATTGTAACTTATAATATCCACTTAACACTTAACATACATATTGGAAACAGAAATATTTCAGAGTTAAAACCGTCTATCGGTAACCATATTCGTTTACAATCACGCAGATTGTGAAATTATATATTACAACAAAAAGAAAAACACAAAATCCTGCAGGTAACAAAAAATAAATTCTCAAAAGTACTTCCTTAACATCTCATAAAGTTCAATATCACCTTTCACTGGAACTGGATCAAACAAACAGATGGCGTACATAAAGGCGACAGTAGTATACCGCTGTTCGAAATTCATGAATCGATTGAGAAAAAACAAATCCGGGTTACAAACTAAAACTGAGGGAAACACATCAAATATAAGAGGAGAACAAAGACACAACAGAAACACTAAAATGCAACACACACAGAAACGATTATAAGATAACAATAGCCATTTTCCTGACTTGGTACAGGACATTTTAAGAAAAAATGGTAGGATGAACCTGGTTTTGTGGCTAGCCAAACCTCCCGCTTTAATGGCAATGTTAAACATAACACTAAAATGACAACATTACATAACAGGACTACAATACAAATAAATGGAAGAACATACAGGACAGAGAAACACACAAATAAACAATACAATAGAACATTAAGACAAGCTAATAGTTATCTAAGTTGCCAGGCCTAAAGATTAAGAGCATTGATGACCCAAAATTCCAAAAAGTTGTGCCAAATACGGCTAGGTTATCTGCCTGGGATAAGAAAATATTAGTATTTAGAATAATTCATCTTTTAGCAAACAGTGAATTTATAAAATATAAAAATGACCATATAATTGATATACATGTTAATACCGAAGTGGTGACTAACTACAACCTGGGGAGGATTGGCGCGCAAACATGTTTTACCCTGCCATATTCTGTATTTCTGTAGCCTGTAATGCTGTGATTGTCGTTTGTTGCTGTTTATCATATTTATTTTTTTTTGTTTATTGTTTTTTTTTACATAAATCTGACCGTTAGTTTACTCGTTTGAATTGTTTTACACAATAATGTCATTTCGTATCCCTTATTATTTATGGGTTTTGCTTATTGTTGAAGGCCGTATGGTCAGATATAGTTGCTTACTTTCTACGGCATTTGATGTCTGGTGGAGAGCTGTCTCATTGGCAATCATATCGCATCATATTTTTATACTACTGTACTGTTCGCTTCCGTACGCTAGAGTCCAACGATCTGGATAATCACGATCTGCAGAATAACAAAACACTGTAAATGGCCATACTAGGTCATGCAAGAGTAAAAAAAACCCATCTTAGTTAGTAAGACTGACAAACGGGACTACAAAACATGTTTTAGTATTTTCAAATTACATCAACCATATAAATCTGAATTGTGAAAAGGAAAGAATTTAAACGTCCTCTTTGACTAAAATAATGATTTTTACCGGAAGTGATGATATAAGGTATATCGTATATAAGCCAATTTGGGGATGACACTATTCTAGAAATAAACCAAATATTTAATATGAATTTATTAAACAACAAAGTTATGAAAGATGTTAATCTATATATTTTCGAAATGGTTGGTATAAAAGAATATCTGATATCGTCAACATAACGTCAGCAAAGAGGAGTTCTGAGAAAGAAGGAATATCTGATAGACTATGTACGGTTATTTCCAGTGAAACTCATTTCAAGAATACCTGTCGAAGATTGGACCATACTCTAACCCGAATAAATCAGTCCAACCCTGTAATCGATCTCTCCTTCTTACGAGGGCCTGAATTCCTAACACGATAAAAACTCTTCACGAATCCTGGATTGTGACCATGCAATCAGCAATCATCTTAATTTTATCGAGATAGGTAAATCCCGAGTTAATTCCGAATGATTGATTTTTGATGAAAAATTTGTCATTGTCCATGCATTAAGGCGTTGATGAAGTTATCGTAGATCAGCGGAATATAACGACTGAATTATTCGGGTTAACCATACTCATACATTTCAGGATCAATAGAACCATAACACATTTCAAAATTGCAGCCCTACTGTGTCGATGTTTTTAGCTGAGTAAAGTATCGAAAATACATGCTTCATTGCCTTAAATTTCACTGCCTTTCTTATCATTTCATAATTGCCAGATGTAGGGTTTCTAAGAAACTATGTTGTAACCTACAAAAGGCATTAAACATGCAACTTAAAGATACAAGTACAGCAGTTAAATAGTTTATTCTTATGGATGGATTTAATAAGTTATTATGAAATCAACAATCTGTTTAACCAACAACAGTTTGCGGAATTCTGAAAAATATACAACCAAAAAACAATTTTGTTAGTTTATATACTATAGAATTATCAAAACTAAATTGTATTATTAATTAATGTTACAGAGTATAATGCCATCATAGTTTACCACTTAATTTCCAAAACAGATCGATTGACATGTTTTCATCCAACCAGAGCAAGTTAATGAATATTTAGATTCCTATATTAAGGTGGTACATAACACTACAGGGAGATAACTCTGTAAAAATCAGCTGAACGTTTTAATCACGTTCTATTGTTAAGGAAATATCAAGCTACTCAATGATCAAAATAAGTGTTTGTCAAACTGCCATATATCCAATGAAATTTTTCCTAGTGTGTGGTTCAAGTTTTTTGAAATTTTTATATTTTTGTCAAAGTGAATATTTTGTCAAAATTTAAGAAAATTAAACGAGCCAAATTAATTTTAGTCAACGTGTTTGGTACTACCTTAATATAATTTATCCTTCATAAGGGTTACTAATTACAAGGAAGCTAATGCATTAAAGGTTTCAAGTGGATAAATTGAAGTCTTCCCTTCGATTTTTTTGATAATTATTTGGTTGACTATTTTTGATATTTGTGTAAAGATATAACTACGGATATATTCGATTGTGGTAACCACTACCACTACCTATAGTCTTTCTTCAAATTACGATTATTCCTTTTATATCTATTTGCCATTTTATTTTGTTTTACATTATACAGCCATCCAAACAGATTTGAATACATTAAACAAGGACTCATAAATATTTGCCATCCGTAAAAGTCTAGATATATCGACATCTGATATGAATTATACTTCCTTTAAAACTGAATCTATTTTTACAAAAAACGTTATCAATTAATTTAAATATTACCGAAACAAAGTTTTTAAAAATACTATAAGACGGATTAAAGGACAGACGGACGGAGTTTTAACCTCGCCAATTTTAAGATCGCCGATTCGAGTAATAAAAGCTGAACTGATTATTGTAGATACAAATTACAAGAAGTACTTTTAAATTTAACGAGACCTATTGTGAAATACTTACTTAGATTCACA